TTTGCACGTATAGTAGAATTAGGAGGAACTTAACTGAGGAACAAGGGGGAGAAGAAGGGGGGAAATGCGGGGAAAAGGGAGAGAGGCAAACCATGAGAGACTCTTGAATGCTGACAAAAACTGAGAACTGATGGATGTAGGGGGAAGGGGGGATGGGCATGGAGGAGGGCACTCGTGGGGATGAGCACTGGGTGTTATGTGGAAACTAATTTGATAATGAACTATTTGTAAAAAATAATAATAAAAATAAAATAAAATAAATTATGAATAAAAAAAGAAAACACAAATTGTAACAGCTGTCGGGAAGAAGTGGGTGACTTTGTATGTCCACTTTAAAAATAGAAAAAATGAACTCTAAATCTAACATTATCATGATTTTCTTTTAAAGACAGGGTGGAATGTGATTACTTTCTGGAGGAACAAATCAGTCCATTCTCTGGTGCCTACAACTGCAGAAGAGTCTATCATCAACTGCACTCTACATTAGCCTTCTCAAGGAGCAACTGCTGCCTCTTAACTTATTTAGATATTGTGTTCACTGCTTTACCATCACATATCAGTCTATTATGTAACACTCAGGCTACAGGACAATTAGGTTTCTCTGTAGACTTTACCAACTTAATATGCATCTGGAAAGTCTAAAATGACTTACACTGATCTAATAAAATCTCCCCCAAAGCATTTCTCTGTACCATGGATTTGGTTCTACCAAATATTTAATTCTGTCTTCCAAGGTAGAAGAGTGATATCAAGAGAGGCAGTCAAGAAAAAAGAACATGGACTCTGGACAATCCACCCGGGTTCCAATCCTGACTCTACCGCATGTAGTTTGTGTGATCTCTGCAAAGTTAATCTCCCTCTCTCCATGATCCTGTCTTTTTATCTGAAGAATAACAATTCACAGAGGTTTATTTAAAAACTAAATGAGGTAGGGGCACCTGGCTGGCTCAGGCAGTGGAGCATGCGACTCTTGACCTCAGGGTAGGAAGTTCAAGCCCCATGTTAGGTATAGAGATTACTTTAAAAATAAAATCTTATGATAATGATAACTTGGGGCGCCGGTGGCTCAGTTGGTTAAGCGTCTGAGTTTTGATTTAGACCCAGGTCATGATCTCAAGGTTTGTGGATTTGAGCACTGCATTGGGCTCAACATTGAGAGTGTAGAGCCTGCTTGGAATTCTCTCTCTCTGTCTCTCTCTCTCTGCCCCTCCCCAACTCACGCTCACTCTCTCTCAAAATAAATAAACTTTAATAATAATAATAATTAATAATAATAAAATGAGATAGCACTTAGAAAGTGCTTAGCACAGTGCCTGGGATAAGAGTATATGCTCAATATATATTAATTATTATTATTTATCATAATTTCTTTCACTTTAGCCAGTGTATCTGTTTGCCAACCCAAACTAACACTAATCATTTTCAAAGTATCATAACCAGAATGAAAGGGAAATAGCACATTCCTAATTATGTCATTATTGATCAACACCTATATTTCACACTGAAAATACAAATAAATACACAGAATTGTAATTCTGTGACAATTTGTACAATTTAGCAAGCACAGTTAACAGTAATTTCCGCTAAATTAAAGATTCACCTTGATGAAATAATGAAATTAGTACTATTAAACTGTTTAATACTATTTCCTAGACTGACATAAAGGAGTTTCTATAAATGCTTTGCTGAGAATACTTACAGATCAAAAATATCTTTGGGGCACCTGGGTGGGTCAGTTGGTTAAGCATCTGACTTCGGCTCAGGTCATGATCTCACAGTTCACAAGTTCAAGCCCTGCATGGGGCTCCGTGCTGACAGCTCAGAGCCTGGAGCCTGCTTTGGATTTTAAGTCTCTCTCTCTTTCTGCCTCCCCACCTTTCCTTCTGTGACTACGACCCCTTGAATGAGTCCTTATCTTCCTGTCTCCTTCCACCTTAGGGCACCAACACCAAAGAATACCTATAACCAACTTTGGTCCATGGTTAGAAATTAGTATATTTTCCTAATTGTTTCATAAATGTGATAGGTAGAGTTCTTAAGATGGCTCTTCAGATTCCTGGCTTCTGGTGTTTGCACACCTTCTCCCAGTTATTCAAGCAAACACTAATATAGGTACCACTGTGAAGGGGTTTTGCAGATTAATATTAAGGTCTCAAGTCAGCTGATCTCAAACAAAGGAGCCTATCCAGGTGGGCCTGTCCTAATCACACATATCCTTCAATCTGGGTTCAGAGCTCAGTGACAAGAGAAGTCAGAAATATTTGAAGTATGACAGGGAATGGATGCAAGAGATTCTCCACAGCTGGCTTTGAAGATGGAGGAGGCCATGTGGCAAGGAATGAGACCAGCTCAGTCAACACTTTGATTTCAGCTTTGTGCTACCCTGAGCAGAAAACCAAACCAGTCACATCATACCAGGACTTCTGACCTACAACGAGATACCAGTACGTAGCCATCAGAATGGCTAAAATTAAAGAAGGATGATGCCAAGTATTGCTGAGGGCATAGAACTGGAACTCATTCTTTTCTTTACAGGCAAGAATGCCCAACAGTGCAACTACTTTGGGAAATGCTGTTTAACAATTTCTGAGGTAAATGTGTATCTACCTTATGATCCAGCAATTCCACTACTATCCATTTACCTAAGAGAAATGAAAACATATATCTGCACAGAGTTGTATAGGAATGTTCAGAGCAGCTTATCCATAAATGCCAATTAACTGTAAACTCAAATGTCCGTCAGTTGTGGTATGTTTCCACAGTGTAACAGATACACTGATACAGGTAATATGAATGAATGAACAACTCTCTAAAACAGTTTCACAGAGAAACCTAAACAAACACTAAATAATATGTTCCATATGATTCCATTTATATTCTGTTCAAAAAGCAAAGTCAATCTATGGTGAGAGATGTCAGAACACTGGTTACCTCTGGCAGGGAGGGTAGAGAGTATTGACTGGAGAGGGTCACCAAAGAATTTTCAGGGGCTCTGGAAATTCTCTTCATCTGGCCACACAGATATATACATATATAAAAAGCCACTGATCCGTACTCTTTAAGATTTGTGCATTTTACTGCATGTAAGTTCTATCTCAATAAAGTATTTAAAAAGGGTAGGGAGGAGCACTACCTATTAACAGCTGTAAAATGCAACAGGCACTTAACATCTCTAGAAAGTCGCTCTTGGTTCTTGGTGAATGATGCTACACTATGTGCTGTAGAGGACAAAGGAACACACTCTATCTTTGCCCTCTTATTGCTTTAAATAAAATGCAGAAGCTAAGAAAAATACTAATCTAACCAAACCACTCCTCTGCAGAAAATCCTTTGCTGGAATTGTGGAGCCTAGACTGCCCAGATGCCGTTAAGTCTGTGCCAGACACTGCTCAAGGCTTTCCCACCACGACCTCATTGAATCCTTTTAACAACTCCATGGGGTAAGACCAAACCCACTTTGGGACGACGAAACTGAGAGTCAACAAAGTACTTTTCTGAGGATGAAGGAAGCCATTCTTGGTATAACTACATGTAGAACATTATGTCGCTCTGCACCTCACAGACATTCAGCAAACGTCCAAAGAAAGGACGAAGGTAAGCCACGTTGACGGAAAGAGAAAAGTCCTGAACCTCAACCTAAATGCGACCTCGACGAACGAAGGATCATTCTAAGTCGGTATTAACAACCCCAACTCTCCTGCTCTCAAGGACAACGCAACGCAGGTGATGCTTGAACCAAATCCCGCTTGTCCACACTACGGCAAAAATGTTTCATTTGCACTGCAAATGAGATCCGCGTCCACCGGAGGCAGGACCGCAAGGCACGGCCCTCTTCGACTCGAGGTCAGCAGCCCGGCGCACGCGCCCTCGCCTCGCCCCGCCCCGCCCGGCCCTGCGCACGCGCCCTCGCTCCGCCCCGCCCCGCCCGGCCCTGCGCACGCGCTCTCGCTCCGCCCCGCCCGGCCCTGCGTACGCGCCCTCGCTCCGCCCCGCCCGGCCCTGCGCACGCGCAGGCTAGGGGAGCGACAGCAATACCTGCGGAAAGCTGGAGCCGGACACTTTTTTCTTCTTACTGGCGCTGTAACCCCCAGCGCTGCTGCCGTTGTGGGAAGGACTAGCTGGCCTCTTCTTGCTGTTCCGGGCTATCCCCGGAGTGGAAGTGGTGGCCACAATTGGAATTTGAGCCGCCATCCTTACCCTGAGTCTTCCTCCTCCCCCACCCCCACCTTCTCTGTGTGAGGCCTTGGAACTTCCGGCTCGCTGTTACTTCCGCCTTCGTGTGTGAAAATCCGGCCTGGACTCCCAGCGCGTTCGCGGATTTCTTTCGGCCAAATCTAAAAGGCGGAGGCCGGAGCAGTCCATTCCATGGGGCCTGGATGGGGTCAGCCAGGCTTCATGCTGCTACTCAGGCGCTCTGAAGCTGGGCACGTGCTTGGAAATCCGCAGGGAGTGAGGAACAGAAGATCTCCATCTTTTCAAACACTGGGTTGTTACGTTAGTAATCGTGTTGCCTTTCTCACGTCAGAAGAGAAGAATAATTAATAATTGATAATAACATTAATGTCTGAGAGTAAAGGTAGGGTTGTTCTGAGTGGACTGAACAGACAGAACAGTGGTGCTGGCATTCCCCTTGGTCTTTGCCTTCTCGTGTGGAAAAAGTTTGTATTCACTGGGTGTCCAATGGACTGGAAGGGTAGAGTGGTTTTTACCCTTTTAGGAGCCCAGATCCCTTTGAGAATGTAAGCCCCTTCCCCACCTCCCCAAATGTATACAGATGTAGACAGAATTTTACGTGCAGATTTCAGGGAATTCGCAGATCTGCTAAAACCCAAGTATGAACTTCAATCTTGGCCCACCCCCTCATTATTTGACATATACTACATGGATTGTAAGGAGTTAAGTTAAACCATGTCTTTTTTGGCTCCTGCTAGAATGGAAATTATATGAGGTAAAGGCTAGTTATCTTTTATTCACCTACCTTTCCCGGGTCATACTGCCTTGCAAGTCGTTGGTACAAATTTTGTTTTTAATGAAGTAATTTCATAAATGAACAAATGCCCTGCAGTAACTAGTTGAAGCGAACAGGAAAGATACATGTATGAATCTGGGTATTTGAAGGAAACAGGCTGCAGAACAAGGTAGATGTAAGAAAGAACAGTGAGGGAAACTAGTTATAATGTTTTCTCCTTTGGAGAAAGGAATGCCCTACCAACATTAAAATGTTCTCTCCATGCCCCAGTTGCTACCCTATCCTCATCTAAACCTAGTCTTCTTTATTTTATTTTTTTTTTTTTTTTGAGAGAGAGAGAGAGACAGCATGAGCAGGGGAGGGTCAGAGAGAGAGGGAGACACAGAATCCCAAGCAGTCTCCAGGCTCCGAACTAGCTGTCAGCACAGAGCCAGATGTGGGGCTCGAACCCACGAACCGTGAGATCATGACCTGAGCTGGAAGTCGGACGCTTAACCGACTGAGCCAACCAGGCGCCCCCTTATTCTTTATCCCAGTGACTGACCCCTCCAACCAGTCACCAAAGCCAGAAACTAGGTGTTGGCCCAAAGGCCCTCTCTCTACTGTCCCACCCCCTCATCTCGCTTCTTTCCTTTATTCCTACCCTGATGACTCCCTACCCCTTCATCTGGGTCCCTGCAACAGCCTTCTGATGGAAGTTTGGGCTTCAATCTTTTCTTAATCCTGCCTGACTCCAAGCCATCCTTTACACTGGCTGCCAGAATGGGCTGCCTGAATCGCAAATCTTTTTTTTTTTTTTTTTAATGTTTATTTGTTTTTGAGAGGGTGAGAGACACAGAGTGAGCAGGGGAGGAGCGCACAGAATCTGAAGCAGGCTCCAGGCTCGGAGCTGTCAGCACAGAGCCCAACGTGGGGCTCAAACCGACAAACTGCAAGATCATGACCGGAGCCGAAGTCAGATGCCTAACTGACTGAGTCACTCAGGTGCCTCTCTGAATCACAAATCTAATTGTGGCATTGATTTCTTGTATTCTTCAAGGCCTTTTTACCTACAGGGGAAAATCCAAAGAATCTTTATCTTGGCATATAACTGGGCTCTGCCCCCCTTGTCTTGCTCAATTCCAAACGCTTAATTCTCTTTGCTCCATCAAGGGACTAACTATTTCCTGAACTGGAGGTTGTACTGACTCATCATAATTTTGCTACCATTATTTCCTCTCCTAGTAATGCTTAGCTCCTTGCCTCAGTTCAGACGCTACTTTCAGCAAAACGCTTTCTGCCATCTAGTGCACCCTCCTTCACCTCTTTTTCCCCTTTCCCCACCCCTGCACACCCCTCTCTCAGGGCTTTGAGCACCAGACACTGGCTCCTTCCTGTAATCCCTTGGTAAATGTTTATTGGGTTCAAATACCAATTCTGTCCTTTTTAAGGAGTCAGACAAGTGGACACACTGGCATCTGTCTTCCTATTGGTGAATTCAGTCCTGATCTTGGCTGAGCTCTTCTTCCTGAAACCCTTCCCTTGGGATCTGGAATGTACCATCCTTATAGTTTCCTCTTTCCTAACCACTTGTTCTCTCTCTTACAGTCATCATCTTCTACCAAATGGTGCCTAGTCCTACTACCAGTTTTCCAAAATACAGGTTATACAGTGCTATTTCACCAGCAGATACATATTTTTAAAGTTTTCCAGGTGGTTGTAATAATGAGCCAGCCCTGCTCGCTCCTGAGACACTCGAGTTCTTGGTGCTTGGTCAAAGTCTCTTTGTCCTCCTCTTTCTGGGCTTATCCCAGCCCTTTCTCCAACTCATCAAGCCTCAGGTACCATCCAAATATAAACCACTTTCAGATTTGTTTCTGCTACATAGATCCTTCTCCAAAGATGCATACCCAGATATAAAATTCCCCACCGAGGTATAAACTCTAAGATGCTTATAGGATCTCACACTCAGTATAGGAAAAACAGAATTTATCATCCTCCTTGATTCTCTAATATGTGTTCCTCCTCCGTCTTTCCTATTGGTAAATGCCACACTATCTACCAGTTGTTCAAACCCAAAACCTGGAAGCCACCTTTGACTCCTTCATCCACCTTCACACCATAACGTTACGCCAGCCATCATCCCTCTCTCTTAGACTCCCACATCACCTTACCTGTCTCCCTGCTTCCACCTTTGATGCCCCCAAACCCAGTCACCATTTGGGGTCCCAGGTGGCCTCTTTGACAATACAGATGTGCATATTTAGATCATACCCTCTACTTGAATCCCTTCAGTGGCTTCTTATATTTTGTACAATGAAGTCCAGTGTCCATAACATGGTTTCAAAGTCCTTAAGAGGCCTGCCCATCCATGTCTCCAGTCTTACCTCTCACCAAGTTCTCCACATTTCCATTCAGTTTTCCTTTCTGTCAGTTAACACTGAGCATCTGGCTCCCTCCTCCCTTGGGCCTTGACACATACTGCTCCTGCTTCTGCTTGGAAGTGGCTTTTCTCCCCTAGCCACCCTCCTCTAGTCTCATTTACTTCCACCCACCCTTTGTATCTTGGCTGAAATGCTACTATATTTTTCAGACTCCTGTATCCCTGTGGTCTGGTTAAAACCTCTCGTCCCATGTTTCTATCAGTCTCGGTCATCTGGGACCTGTTGATTATGTGTTACATGCCAAGCTCTGAGGTTGGGAACAAGGACAGAGATAGGAGAGAGACCTTATATTTGTCTTCTCAGCTGCATATGAACTCAGCTGCCAGAGTCATCAAGGACTGAGCCGCAGAGCACCAACAGATGATAACAGCAAGGAGTGAGTAGAAGGTGGGAGGATGTCTGCTCCAGGGAGCAGGAGCTTTGGGCTGGGGAGAAACCCCTCCCATGTCCAGGTTGGCAGCACTCAGCACTGCGGGGTTGGCACATGTAGGGACTGTGCATCTGCTGTGCGTATAACTTGTGCTCCCACGCCTACTGCTAAAGATAAATTAACACTGATGATCCGCGGCCTGCTGGCTTGCGTGTTGAGGTGGGGCCTTCCCCAAGTCCCCTCCCTAGTTATTCCTGAGAACTTGCAGGGTGTGCCTCACCTCTGCTGCAATATATGCCTTCTGGTGTATTTCCTCTCCAGCCTCCTTGCTGGGACCTGCCGCTCCTGTGTCCCTCACCAGTGCCAGTCTTCCTTCTGCAAAGGCTGCCGGAGCCACCACTGGGGCGCTCGTACCCTCACTGGGGCCTGCAGGGAAGCAGCTTCAGCCACAGTCTTGAGCTCAGTTAACACTTAATGATTAAAAATGCATAATATACTTGTTAAGCTATCCCATATCATTTGATGCACCCATGTCACCATCTCAAAAAATCTCAGGAAACACAGTGGATATCTTGGGATCACACTATTGGACGGAAGACGCACTGCCCATCTTCTCTTGGGAACTTGTGTGAAGGGCTCCAGTTGATCCAGGGACTCCTTGGTGACGTGAAGAAACCTTGAACCTACAGTCAAGACCAACTTCCCCAGTGTGCAGCCACCACGAGAGGCAGTAGAGTGTGCAGTGCATTTTGGAACTGTGGGGATGTGCGGCTTCAGAGAAACCCGCTGCCACAAGACAGTGCTGGAGCCCCTCGGAGGTCACTGTTATCCTCTCTGGAGCATGAGAGGAGCGTGAGAGGAGCATTCGCCTGGGCTGGCTGGGAGGCGAACTTCTCCCTGTTGTTTCATCTATCAGGAACCTTCTCTAATCTCTGTTCCCACTCATTAAGCCAAGTGAGATGTCACGACAAGGAGGCACTCACAGCAACTGGTTTCCTCCATCACAGATCTCACTACGTAGTGCGGTGAAGGCCTGTGGGTTGTAGCACAGTTGGGCAGAGACAGTTTCTTCTGCGTCACTGTTTTCCAAGCATTGCAGACCCGCAGGGATGATCTGCTGAGTGCCTCATTATTTAAACAATCGTTGTGTAGAAGGACAGAGCCAGGACAATGGGGGCTGGGAGGGAGGGAGCTTTGTTCACACAGTCGTTTGCTTATTTTCCCCCTGACAGATGCATGGAGATATTTAAAGCAGGAAAAAAATGAGTGATTGAAAATAAGCCTGACCTTAACCTTTGCAGGGTCCAGGGCAAGAATACACATGAAAGCCTTCATACCATACGTCTTGAGATTTAAATGTACAAATCAAGCTACTAGGCTGTAAGACGAAATACATTCAACCCTTCTATCTTGGCAAACATCCCTTCAAGGCCAGAGTTGAATTTAGTATTCTCAGATTCCTTGGAGTTCTGCCCCAGATACGGTAGCATGGGGAGAGCCTTCAACCTGCCCCCTTTCACCCCTTGCTGCACTGGGCATTGTGAGGCAATGTGTGCACACATGTGGAAACCCAAACACTCAGCTTGATCCATCTTCTCCTCCACCCTCGTGAACAGCTTCCTCCTTCCCATGCCTCCGGCTGAGGGTCTATACATTGGGCCTGGAAAAAAGGCCCATAGGGCCATTGGACAGGAGATTCTGGGGTCCCCAGCCCCCAGAGCATCTCCTACAAGAGGAGTGGCGTGGACCCAGGTGAACACATATCTCTGTCTCCACAGACTCCTTGCAGAGTGTGTGACTCTCATGACTGCAAGTGTGGTCCAAGGGACTCCCCTATTACTGAGGTCCTACTCCTGAGAAGGAAGCAGATAATGAGTGTGAGTGAGGCGAAGAGAGCTCCAGCTTCCCCTGAAGCTGAAGGGAGGAGGGACAGGGAAAGGCCGGTGAGGTAGAAACCCAGTTTGGGATTAAGTAGCAGGAAGTTAATGTGATTTCCATCTCTTAGGCTGGACTTTCTTTCTTAAATTTTTAATTGTCTTATTTATTTCTGAGAGAGAGAGAGACAGCACGAACAGGGGAGGGTCAGAGAGAGAGGGAGACACAGACTCTGAAACAGGCTCCAGGCTCTGAGCTAGCTGTGAGCACAGAGCCCGACGCGGGGCTCGAACCCACGGACCGTGAGATCATGACCTGAGCCGAAGTCGGATGTTCAACCGACTGAGCCACCCAGGCGCCCCTTAGGCTGGACTTTCTCAGTGAAGGGGAGATGTGTCACCTTCCAGATGAAGTGGCAGGGGCAGAGGCTTGGGAAGAGTCAGGAAACTTTGGAAAGGCCAGTGTTCACAGTATCGTCAGTAAGGGCTGAGAAGGAGCCTGTGAGAAACTTCCAGGAAGCGCCAAAGTCCTGCCACTGTGGCCCACATCTACTTGGGCAGGTCGGGTACAGCCCAACTCCACGATGCACTTTTTACGTCACCCCCATGTGAATGGCAACCCCTCGAGTCAGGTTTTGCGCCTCTTGCACAGCCAAACCTGGTGGACTGAGGCTCGAGCCACCTCCTTTCTGAAGTTTGACCTCAGCAGTTAGTATCACTGTGCAAAGTCTGAATGAGGGAAAATAGTTTGAACGACACTTGTAGTGGCTGAAATTACTTCTCAAATCTATGCCTGTTAAGTAAACACTAATTTAACATTACAAATATGGCCCCAAAAGGCTGACAAAGGTTTTCTTAAACAGTGGGGTGCTTGCCTGTAATTCTGAGTCCCAGGATCATGCTCCCAGGCTAGTATTTTCCTCATCCCTGTAACGAACCCTGGTGAACATTCCCCTCTCTGAGCACTGGTCCCTCCCTCCTCTCTTACCAGAGTACCCACCCATTACTTAAAATGAATTATTATTTTACTCTGTGCATACCAGAGAGAAAGAAAATAATTATAATTACTATAATTCTCCCGTCTCTGAGATTCCCTCCCTATTTTGCTCTCCCTAAACCTCAAATTTGCTAATCCCCACACTGTGACAACACCTGCCTTCTTAAATTGTCAGCCTGCTTCCATCTCCGCCCATCTTCCCCCACCCCACCCCCCCCACCGTATCACAGGGCTCCTAACTCTGTGCTATGTTGTTGATTTTTGTTTTTATTCACATGTGACATTCTGTTTCCACCAGCTGTACTTGCACTTTGAGAAAGTACTGGGAAAAGTCAGGTCCGAAACCTCTGAGGACAGTTGCTTGTGGAATAAAGCAGAGATGGTATGGAGGCTCAGAGAGGTTCATTTTCTAAGCTCAGAAAGAAATCCTCATAAGACTCTGAGAAGCAGGGTCTTCCTCCAGGCCACCGTTCACTCCATGTCCTCCGTGTCCTCAGAAGACAGGGCAGGTGAAACAACCAGTCCAGCTCCCAGAGTGTGCCTCAGCCCTGGGGACAGGGTCAGGGCCAGAAGAGGCCATGGCCAGCCAAGCAAGGGAGACCTATTCTGAGCAAAAGGATGGTGTCAGCCACCTTCTTCCCTGGTGGTAGGTACAGTGGAGAGGACCAGAGGGGCTTCTGTGTCCCACAGGCCTTGTCCGGGGAAGCCAGGCTTTCGGATGAGCCTTCTACCTGCCATTGTTTCAAAGAGCAAGAAATGGAACATGTGATTATACTCGCAGTTTTTTAGAAAACCATTCATTCTATAAAGTCTCAAACTACTTAGGATGCACTGTGACTGATCTCTGTCTTTTTTTTTTTAATGTTTTATTTATTTCTAGGAGAGAGAGAGAGAGAGACAGCGTGAGCAGGGGAGGGTCAGGGAGAGAGGGAGTCACAGACTGAAACAGGCTCCAGGCTCTTAGCTGGCAGTCAGCACAGGGCCCGATGCAGGGCTCGAACCCACGAACCGCGAGATCATGACCTAAGCGAAAGTCGGACGCTTAACCGACTAAGCCACCCAGGCGCCCCTCATGGTTGGTGAGTTCTAGCCCTACATCAGGCTCTCTGCTATCAGCAAAAGAGCCTGCTTGGGATTCTCTTTCTCCCTCTCTTTAGGCCTCTTACCCTCCTCTCAAAAATAAGCAAATATTTTAACAAATCTATAAAAGAAGAAGTATGTCTCAAATCATTATGGATACCTGGTAATGAGGCCCTGGTAGGGCCAGCGTGGGCTTCCAGGGACCAAAGACACGTGCTTCAGTGGACTTTGGGAGCTTCAGTTTGACTGATTAAGGACTTCATCTTTAAGTCTTGTAACTTTTTGACCTCAGTTTCCTTATCTGTAAAATAATGATCTGACCTTGTTTATGTAAGTTTTCAGAGATTTTAAAAATATTTTATTAAAGCTTAACACACATACAAGAAACTATAAGAATCATAAGTGTACAGTCAGATGAATTTTTACAAAGTAAACCCATTAATCATCCAGGTCAAAAGATAGAACATGATTGGCACTATAAAAGCCCGTTCTGTGACCAGTGCCAACCCCTTCTACTACCCAAAGGTTACTACTCTCATGGCTTCTAACACCAGAGATCCATCCTGAAGTTTTTGCAAATGCAGCCATGCACGTTGTATTTCTGTTGTGTCTCTCTTCTTTGGAGACATTCGTTTTTGTGTTCTGTAGCAGTGCTGCGTTTTCCATGCGGTCTAGTTTCCTATTGTGAGAATGTGCCACATATATCCACTCTGCGGTTGGACATTCCCGTCGTTCCCAGGGCCTTTTGGCTCTGTTGAATTAGGCTGCCATGAACGTTGTACATATTGGTGCACATATGCACACCCCTCTGTTGAATTGTACCAAGAATGGAACTTCTGGGTCATAGGATATGGTTTCTTAGATTACTGCAAATAGTTTTTGGTAAGTGATTGTACAAGTTTCCTTTCCACCAGCAGCAAATGAGAATTCTAATTATTTCAGATGATCAAGGGATTTTTTAATTGAACTCTGTATAGTATAACTGTATTTGTCAAATGAATGCCCTGGGCAAAGGGAGAGGCAGTGTAGCATGGTAGCAATCACAGTAAGTGAAATCTCAGGTGAAGCATGCAGTCGTTCTGGACCTCGAAGTCCTCATTTCTGAAGCAGTGCCAATTTGAAGAGCACTTTCATCTATAAAAGTCTTGGCTCATTTTATGAAATGCCATTAATTGGGACGGGACCTATACCATTTAAACATGAATATATAATCTTTCATAGGGTTCATACATACACACCCACATTGCTATCTTTTGAGAAGCACTTCATCCACATACTTTCTGGCATCTTCCTATGCCAGGCCCAGGCCCAGCTCTGGATGGATGCTAAACAACAGACTCACACACGTGTGTCAAATGCAGGGATTGCATGAGAGCAAGGGCACTGTATGATGGAGAGAAATTTGCAAGAAGAGTTCTTGCTCCAGAGTGGAGTTATTCCACTCAGGCAGCAAGGCTGAGCTGGCAGAACAGTCAAAATCCAGAAGGAACCAAGGGCAAGGCAGTGCCTGGGTCAGTGCGGGCAAGGCAGCTCCCCGCTCAGTAGCACACACACCTCTCTCCTCCATGGCTGGGCACGTCAGGTGGCTGCGGCCTCCTCTGCCAGCCTCCTGTCTGGAGTGCCCTCCTGCGTCAAAATCTGGGTTGGGGCCGTCCGGTGGATGAAGCCCTTGGAGAATGCAGATCTGGCATTTTCAGCTTTTCTAGAGAGAAGGGGAGTCCCAAACCCTGGAAGGGGTTCAGGTGCGGGCCCACTAGGCCTATGGTTACTAATGATAATAGGAGCTAAGGCAATTGCCAGTTGTTCTTTCTTCCTGGATTTTTAAAATCACAATTAAAGAGTATCAAAACACTCCTTAATTCTTCATTGTTTTTGTAGTTGAACCTCCCAAGATCCACACTTAATCCAACTCCACCCCCAAAGGGCACAACTGTCACATGTTTAGAAGTGACACAGCTTCTCAAAACCATGCAAGGTATGCAGAAGAACTGGGCAAACCAAGTGGTGGTTAGGTGGTTGGAGCGAACCACTG